TGAGCCATGTGGCAAGGTATAGATTTATAGAAATGGGTTAATTTAAGATAGAAGAATTAGACAAGAAGCCTGCCACAGCCATACAGGTTGTAAGTAATACAAGTCTCTGTGTGTTCACTTGGTTGGGTCTGAGCAGCTGTAGAACTGGCGGGTGAGAGAGATTTGTTCTGACCTGGGCCAGGCAGGACTGGAGAAAACTCCAGCTACAGTTCATTGATCACCTGACATGCTTCAGCTCACCAGTCACATTGTTTCCCAAGCCACCCCTAGCAATGGCTAACCACAGACCCAAACAGGAAAGATTTTAGCTCCCTTCCCTCTTCCCCTTTTCTGCCCTGTAAGTCCCAGCCTGGAAGCAGGCAATGAGCTACAGGCCCCTCCACAGGCATGCTTTTCCTGAATAAAGCCCATGCTGTCCGTGAATTTCTCATCCCTCTGTCTGTCTTTCTCATCACAGTAGCATTAAGGGAAAATTATTTCCTTCTGGTCAATGAAATCTCTGGTGTACGTAGAGACCCGACACTCTGCATAAGCAGACCCACCATAAGCCAGGTTAAAGAGCTGGGAGAAATAATTCTCTGTTTAATTCAATAATGTACTTTTCCTTCTCAGAATGCCTGACCCCAGGGAAGTCCCTTACAAAGTTGCAGCCATGCAACTTTTTAAAGAAAAAGCTTAACTCCCTCCCTCCGTCCCTCCCTTCTTCCTTCCTTCCTTCCTTCCTTCCTTCCTTCCTTCCTTCCTTCCTTCCTTCCTTCCTCCCTTCCTTCCTTCCTTCCTTCCTTCCTGTGTGTGACAGGGTCTCCCAATGTAGTCCTGGCTGACCTGGAACTTGGTATGTAGACGAGGTTAGCCTTGAACTCTCAGAGGTCCATTTGTCTCTGCCTCGCAGTACTGGTATTAAGGTGTGCACCACCGTGCCCCACCAGGCTCTTTCTCTTTTCTAAATACACTCTCCCTGACCCTTTGGGCTTCACTCTTCCTCAAAAGCTTCCCTCCTGGCTGCCTGTCTGCTGGGGCTGACCTCCACGCCAGCCTCAATCAAAGGATATGGAGTTGTCTCCTGCTCCTCTCCATCTCCCTCCTCCAGCAGCAGCTGAGATTTAGAGCTTGCCTATTTGGGAGTTTTTCTTTTAAACTCTCTAATAACATTGTCTACAAGTTTCCTATTAGATTTGTTGTTAAGTTCTTACATTAACAAGACTAAAAACCCCAAGAAGGGAACCTTGATTTCCTGCATAACATGGAGATTCCCCAAAGGGATTCTCCCAGATTTCAGGTGACATTCTCATAGTCCTTCCAGGTACCACATGGGCTGTGCAACCCTTACTTACTCTTCTGCAACTCAGATCTTGAAGTTCTCAAGATATGACAGTATTTAATGATTGGGGCTTTAAGGGGGTGCTTAAACAAGGTCTAAGACCCTAATCTAATACATAGTAAGCCCAGGGACTCTACATAGAGGGGAACTAAGGATACAGTGAGCAAGCAGACCTCTTATAAGCCAAGAGAGGCCCAGGAAAAACTTAACTCTATCAAACCTCCTCTCACTTCTGGCCTCCAGAACTGTGGGATTGGGAGATCTGGGTTCAAGCCGCCATCCTGTGGCACTTTGCTATGGCAGCCCAGGCAGATGAATGCTCTGCACATTCCAAATGTGGCAGTTGTTAGCCTTTGTTATAACAGATGCATCACTTCCCCTTTAGTCTCTGAGTGAAACGCAGTTTCATTTTTGCTGGCTCATCTGTGCATGCTGGTCCAGTGTCTGTGTGAGGTGTGTCTGCAAGCACACTTGGTCTCCTTCCTTCTCCACACTTCCCTCTTCATGTCCTCCTTGTGTTCCACTTCAGCGCTTCCCTTCCCGGGGGTTTTGAAATGACCCCCACGCTGAAACCAGAAGTCTTAGGTATATGAAGTGGGGGAAGAGCATGTTGTTTTACTTGGAATGGAAAAAAAAATGATGCTGAGGTATACATGGGACTAGGTAGTATTGGATTCTCTGAAGAGAACAACATCCTTCCTTGCCTGATCAATACACTTATTTAAACAGACTTCTAAATTAATTCAACTTCTCACCATGTAACAATTTCACATTTCACCACCTCCATACACATCTTTCTTATACTCTCCTCCTTGCAAATCAGTATTTCTCATTTCTCTCCTATTTCTATATCCATCCTTTTGGAATAAGTTTCCTGTCTAGAATCTGACCTGTGGAGACTATGCTCCACTCCAAATTACTCCTATTGTATGAGAATTTGAAAATGCTTATCGTGCATGAACACAGACTTTCAAACACAAAACTTTCAATCAATGCCTTGCCTTAATGACTCTGTCTTACAGAACACCTGTTTGCTATGTTTTAGATGAAAATGCTTAGGGAAAAAAAACGATGCCAAGTCTTGTTTGTGCAAATAAACAACCACTATCTGTCCCCATACAAACCGCCATACAGATGGGTAACTAGCTTAGTTATGCAACTAAAGTTAGTTATGCAGCTACCACCTACAAACTTACCAAATTAAGCTCATAATGCATGGGTATTTGAGCATGTCAAAAACATATCAGAAAAAAAAATGATCATGCCCATGAACTTGTTGAACACACCAGAACACTTTAGATAGTGATGTGACCCTCTCCGCTAATCACACACACAAAGGGGCCCTTTATATTGTTGAGTTATGGTGTCACCCACTGGCCCTCCAGCAGAGCACCCAATGCATTTATCATGGAATTGACAGGCAACCAGTTATCATATTTGTGGCCGCTGGGACTTAGCTCAGTATGATGCCCCCATGTGAACTGTCCTTTGTGCCTTGGACCAACTATGCATTTCCTTAAGCCAGCCCTGTACTTCCCCCTTGAGAGCTTTACATACTTCCAACAGCTCTTACTGGTTTCTTGATTTTTAATCTTGTGTTACCAGCTGTATTGAGTCTCTTTGCATTTGTATTGATGAGAACAGGAGATAGAAAATGGTCATGTAAGGTAGGGGAAGCCCCCCCCCCTCCCCAAGACAGCAGTTGGGTGAGTGTCTTTTCTGGAGTCAGGCATGCCAAAAGAGAGTTTTGTCATTTCTTATGCTAAGGAGCCCCTCTCTGGAGGTTGTTGTGGTGATATTTTGTTTGTGCTCTAACAAATCTTCCGATATCAGAGTGTGGAGCTAGCCACTAGAGAGGCCAGGCAGTGGTGGCACACACCTTTAATCCCAGCACTTGGGATCTCATGCCTTTGATCCCAGTACTTGGGAGGCATAAGTTTTTAATCTCAACACTTGGGAGGAGGAAACAGGAAGTGATATGGCTGGGTGGAGAGAGGAAGTGATAAGGTGGGGTGGAGACAGGAGCTCGGCCCCTTCACTGTGAGGATTCCTAGAGGTCTTTCTAGTGGTTGGCTGCTCTGCCTCTCTGATCTGTCAGCTTTCACTCTGATATCTGACTCTGGGTTTTTATCATTACGACCAATTAGAATTCATGCTACAGGTTGTTATGTGAGAATATGGCTGGAACTGGAGCCGTGGACACTCATTCACTGGCCAGTTGGACTCAGCGGCTCATCCCCTTCTCATGCCTTAGCCTGGTTTCTGCCAGAAATCCTTTATAATGTCTTTAGACTAGCAGCTTGAAGGTGTCCTATTTCCTAGGATTCCTATTGATACAGTTCTCTCTCTCTCTCTCTCTCTCTCTCTCTCTCTCTCTCTCTCTCTCTCTCTCCCCCTCCCTCCCTCCCTCCCTCTCTCTCTAATCTCTCTTCCTTTCCTCCTTCCTCCTTCTTAAATTCCATCTAAAACCCTCTCTGTGGTCCATGAATTTCATATTTCAAATTCCCAAGAACCCTAAAGCCACTGTCTCAGGGTTGCTTTGGGGACTGTTGACTTTCCCAGGACTTTAGAGTCCCACCACACCCCAAAACTAATCTAACTAAGAGCAGAGAAAACCCTTTCACCCCCAAAGACACTTCAATGTCCTCTATCAGCATGAGCTCCAGCTTGCTCTGGCCTTCACCAAGTTTTCAGCCTTCTGAACACTGCTGCTTCGACTCTGTGGCATATGCACGCCTGCCCATATTTGTGTGTGTTGTGTAGCTCCACATTTAGGAGGTACCCCTCTGTCTGAACACTGGTCACCCCAAGGTTTGCAAACATGGGGGTGCGCCAGTTGAGTTTGTGGCTTCAGAGCTAAGTGTGGTTAGTAGAGGATCCTGGAACATAAACACTGGAGACTACTGAACTGAAGACTGAGTGCTGTCAGGCGTCAGAAAAACTCAGCACTAACCTAAATGGGAGAAAAAGCAAATCTCCCAGTTGAAACAGTCCCTCCTGGAGGGAGGAGGAGGGATGACGGTCATTAGATTCCTGAAGTAAAGAAAACAGGGGTCCAGGAAATAAAACAAAATTTACAAGCCTTATGGTGCTATGAAAAGTTACAAGATTCACAAAGCCCCACCCTCCGCACAATGCTATATAAGCAGTAAAATTGTTGTGATAAGGAGCTTTCTAAGGAGAAGCTTTCCATTGGCCAAGTCAGAGCCATGCATAATGCCTGCAAGTCAAACAGGAAGCTCCAGGGATGTAGCCTTCATGCGTCATCACCCATCCTGGGGTGGGCTTTTTGTTATCCCAGTAACCTCACTAGTTCACAGAGTTAGACGTGTGTGGTGTGGTGGTTTGAGTGAGAATGCCCCTCCTCACCCCCCCACCCCGCAAGCTCATATATTTGCATTCTTAGTCCCCAGGTGATGGGGACTGTTGGGAAGGATTAGGAGGTGTGGCCTTGTTGGGGTAGGTGTGTCCTTGTCGGAGGAGGTATGTTGCTTGGGGTGGGTTTTGAGGTTCCAAAAGCCCAGGCTGCACCCAGTGCCTTTCTCTCTGCCTGTGGATCAGGATGTAAAGCTCTCGGCAACTGCTTCAGCGCCACACCTTTCTGCTCCTCACCGTGACGATAATGGTGAAACTGTAAGCAAGCCTCCAAGTAAATGCTTCCTTTTATAAGAGCTGCTTAGTTAGCCATGCTGTCTCTGCAAAGCAATAGAACAGTAACTAAGATACACAGAACAGTTTCTTAAGTCTCTGTCTGTACCCTCTTTGGGATGAAGAGACATTTGTTCACACCTCCCTAGGAAAAGCCACACAACTCTATGTGTGTGTGTTATGTGTTAGTTAAAACTGGTAACTACAATTGGAATAAAAGAACTGTGATTGTCAGTGGCTGTATCTACCAAGAGAAACCAGTACTGCTGGTGAGCTGAAGCCAGTGAAGTTGACAAAGCTTGTAGATTTATTATTATCCAATAAATTCTGACAGTGTGCAAAAACATACAAATCTTCACTTCTATTGCTGGCATAATATGGTCACGACACTAACCATTTCCACCTACTAGAAATCATAATACAACTTGGCAAACAGTAGGCACCCCATACATGATTGATGAATATATGTTATCAGAAGATATCTTGACAGTTTCTACTTATCTCCATTCTTATGACCATGGCCCTGGTCTGAGCCTCATCATGTCTTTTCTGGGTCATGATGGGGGTTCTTTATTGCTCACTCCATTCCCCATGTTCCTGATAGTCCATTCTCTACACAGCAGTATTGGCTCTTAAAAAAAAAAGAAAGAAAGAAAAATGAGACATGACTATCACTGTCCATTTCACTAAATTCACATCAAGGTTTTAAATACAATGGCCTGAATGGCTCTTTGTCATCTGCCTTTATCCCAACTCACCCATTCTGCCTTGGTCCCTGCTGGACCTCAAATACATCAGGTAAGTCCCATTTTTAGTTCTCTGTACAAGCCTTTCCCTCTGATGCATTTCTCTGTTATGAGCATCCTTGGATTCAGCTTGACATGACTCCAGTCATCTTGAGCTGCCAGCGCTACAACTGCCATGACTGTACCAGAATAACCCTGTTCAGTTTTTCCCACTTAGTTTCCCAGCAAACTATAACTAGACAAAACCGTTAGAGTGGTATGTGGAGCTTACAGCTAGACCCCGGGGTCAGAAATGTGCAGATATAGCGTAAGATAAACCAAATACATTCTGGTTAGGATAAGGTCACACACACACACACACACACACACACACACACACACACACACACACACACCATGTACAACACACACATCGTTCTGACACAAATTTCAGGCATTCACTTGTTCTTGCTACCTTTAAGACCATAAGGCAGGTTAATAAACCCATCAATAAGTTACACTGTTGAATTAAGAGGTGAAATAGCAATTAGAAGATGCCTATGTGCTACATGGTGAATAAAAACCATTAAGAAGACAAAGAATTGTCTCTGTTCCTGAGAGAGGGGATGGGAAGGGCATCAGAAATCACAGGATAACTGAAGAGCGGAGAGACAGAGAAGGACAACCCTGTGGAAAGGAGGAAGCAGGTACAGATTGAACCATGGATAACTAACTAGCAGAGGGCTGATGAGGAAGGAATGGTACACAGTAGCCTCTCCAGAAGACAAGTCAGAAGACCAGCAGTGCTACCCACCAGTGCACTGTCCTTGTGAGATTCAAATCCAGCCAGGGGTTTTGGTGAGCTGGTGACTCCTCTACCATGATGAATTAGAAGTGGAGAGGATGTCTGTTTACATTCCTCATGACTCAGAGGGCTGTCATGAAGTGCTTTTATGAGAGAGAGCATCTTAGTTAAGACTGAGCTATCCAAGTCATTGTGCCTGGGGTCAAACTATCCCAGTCTCTGAGTAAGAGACAGATGTGAAAGGTGGACATGGAAAGGGAGAGAGTTGAGTGCTTCTGCTGGGACTCTTGGCTGGTAATGTAGGTGAGAACCCTGTCCTTCACGGTAGATGGGTCACCTGAGGATACCTGCTCAGTCTGACAGCGCTGAGCCTGAGGTCAACTGGCCCAACCTCTGGAAACACCTACCTGCTGCAAAGTCTGCTGCTGCCAGGCCTGAGAACGTCAAAGCTCCATCTGAGGATCTGCCATCCACAGCTTCCTCCTCCATCCAGAGCTGGCTTTAAAGGTGAAGACCGGTCCATCGTCACAGGTAACAATGCTGGGTTTGCTTGTCCTCTCGACACATCCTGCAGGCACCCTTCTGTTTGCACACTAGTCACCTCAGGGTTTGCAAACCTGGGGGCGTGTCAATGGAGTTTGGGATTTCAGAGACAAGTGTGGCCAGCAGAAGATCCTAGAATGCCGAGCACGGAAGGTAGTGAGCTGAAGACTGAGCTCTGTCGAGCATCAGAGAAAGCCAGCACTAGCTAAATAGAAGAAAAGCAAGACTCCAAATTCACTTAGCCATCCAGCCGTGCCCCAACTGTCAGAGTCCAGTTGTGGAGAACCCAGGAAGAAGCCGCTAAATTTGACTTTCCTTATTCGCTTTTCTTTGTTTTAATCCCTGCATGTCTCCCTTTCTAGTACATGTAATAGTACTTTTGAAATTGCTATTTTATAATAGTTTATTAAATCTTTGAGAACTTCATGCAATGTACAGCCAGACTCTTCCCCTAACTCCTCCCACATCTTTACCCCATCCCCAACTTGGTGTTTCTCTCTCTCTTTTAAAGAACCCACAGGCTCTAATTTGTGTTGCACATATAGTCCTGGGTGTGGGCCGTCCACTGAGGTGAGATCAATGTAACAGGAGCAAGTCTTAAAGAAAACCAACTTTATTCTGGTAAAAATGATTTTATCTTTTAATTTTTTAATTCTGTTTCTTATATTTATCTAATTAATCTATTTAATAATTTTATGCATTTTTATAAGACAACCAGATTTTTTTAATGACTTTCCTGCTTCATAACATTTTTTTCCATTTCTTCTTCTCTTTCCTTCCTTTTATTTAACCTTATTTCTCCTTTCCATGTTCTCTTTATTTTATTCATATAATACTTTTGGACTAAATTTTTTGTTTCATAGCATCGTTGTATTAGTCATGGTTCTCTAGAATAGAATTTATAATATGAAATATATATGTATGTGTATATACATATATATATGACTTATTAGAGTGGCTTACAGGCTGTGATACTGCCTGAGCAATGTCCAACAATGGCTGTCTAGCAAGGAAAAGTTCAAGACTCCAGTGGTTGTTCAGTCCATGAAGCTGGATGTCTCAGGTGGTCTTCAGTATACACCAGAATCCTGAAGAAGTCGGCTCTAACGCCAGGGAAGGAATGGACTTGACAGAAAGAGTGAGAAGAAGCAGGCAAAGAACGAGCAAGCTTCCTTCTTCCATGTCTTTTATACAGGCTACCAGCAGAAAGTTTGGCCCAAATTAGAGATGGATTTTCCCATCTCAAAAAATCCGCATTAAAAGTGGGTCTTCCCACTTCAAATGATTTAATTAAGAAAAAAAAAAAAAGCCACACAGGTGCACCTAAGTGCTTGGATTTAGTTCATTCCAGCTGCAGTCAATTTGACAAAGGAGAATGGCCATTATAATACTCTAAATTGTTTTTTCTTCTTCTTGTTCTATAGTAATTGGCGGTATGTTCATTGTCTTTGTCTATTTCTTTATCTCGTTCTGTTTGTTGTTATTACTGTGGTTGTTTTCTCTTTTGGGAGTGGCACTGGGGACAGAGCCCTCAAGAGTTTGCTGCTCATTAAGAAGATGTCCAATTAGAGCCGAACAGATATCTACACCACAGGTGTGCTACTCACAACAAAGAACTCTGAGAAACACACAACAGGATGCATCCAAGAGCTCATTACTCTCAAGTACTGAATCCAAAGGTCCTCAAACAGTAGACATGGCAGACAGAGTTCCAATGCCACTACTAAAAATAGTCAACAACAGTCAACAAGTCAATGAATGAGGTAAGGAAATTACTTCAGGATGCACATAAGGAAGCCAGCAACACAGGAGAGCAAGGGAGCAACATTAATGAAATGGAGATGTTGGAAGTGAAAAACCAGATGAATCAAGTGAGAAGCAGAGTGGAAAGAGTTACCAGTAGGTTAACCAAGGGCACGAAAGCTGTCAGGGAGGGAGGATCGGAGGAGGAGTACAATATTCAGACCCCACGAAGACAGGGAAGAAGCCAAGCCTCGGGAGTCAAGAAGTCTGAGATCAACCGATTTACAAAGGCAAACATGCTGGACCACCCAGCAGAAACCTTAGCATCCAGGGCAGCATGGATGGGATGACACACCACTTAAGATGGGCTTCGTAGGAGGAAACGTTCTCAACATCCTGCCCTTCTTGCCTAGTTTTCTGTGACTCCATCCACCTCTGGTCTTCCCCTCTGTTGCTGTTTATACCACTTCTGTCTTCTGTGTTTTATAATCTCCATTTTCTGTAATCCCTAACTTCTTTCTCATCTCTAAGTTGCTAGGCCATACATCCAGTAGACCTTCAGCTTTCCTTTGAAGTCAATATCGTGGACCATTCTTGGGTCTCTGTGCTGGCTATCTTCCTTTACTCCCCTCAGTAGCAAGTACTTTGAGCCCCCCCCTCTTTATTTCTGTGTATCCTTTGAAGAGAGGAAAGCATGTATGTCCTGTGCCTTAAACATACTAGCTGTGCTATATGTTGAGGTTTTCCATAGGAATGTTTTCATCCCCGTCTCTCCGCTCCTGACACTTTTATCTCCAATGGTCAACTTGCTAGTCTCTTGAATGTCACACTTACCAAGTCTGAAATGTCTTTTCTGCTCCTCTTGTGCCTCCCACATCTCTACAGCTCAGAGCAGGATGCCATCATGTACTCAGAAATCTGAAGTCAACATCAGTTCTTCACCTCATCTATGCCCATACCCCCTAGTCCATTAGCAATTCCTATAAAATCACTTCTAAAACATGCCTCCTACCAATCTAGTCTCCACTGCCGCTTTCACCTCCTGTGCTGGGCTGGTCATCTGCCTCCTGAGGAGAGGCTCCTTACTTCTGTTCTTGTTTCTTGTGAGCTCTTGACCCTCTGGACCCTCTTCTCCCCGCATACTGTATTTCAGGTTCTCCTCATATTCTCCTTGGACCATCTCCATAGCCTCTCTTCTTTCATTCTGTTCCTGTCTCCACTTACTTCCAGTTGGATCTTTTTTAAAATATGTGGGACCCATGCCTTCATCAAGATACAGCAAAGCTGATGGCTATGCCTGCAAACCTGTTTCCCTGCCTTGCTTTTACCACACATGGTTGCTTTATGCTTCTTCTTGGGGCTCTTACAACCACAGACTGTTATTTGTCTACTCTTCCCCTTTAGTTTGAGATTTTTATTGGAGGATCCAGAGAGATGGCTCAGTGGTTAAAAGCACTTGCTGCTCATCCAGAGGACATGAGTTTGATTCCTAGCACCCATGGGCTGCTAATAATCACCTGTAATTCCAGCTGCAGGGGATCTGACTCTCTCTTCCACTCTTAGGGGGCACACAAGTGGTGTACCTGCACATAGACATACACACATAAATAAAAATAAATTCCTTTTAAAAAGTCTCTTATTTAAGGTTTTATTCCGTCTAGGAAACACATCCCTTCATCCCCTGATTTCTCACAATTCGAGCCACAGGGCTCCTGAGTTCCTTATCTAGGTATGGCATGATACCTGTCACAGACTCTGCTCCCTCCCTCACCACACTGAGCGCTTTGTAAACAGACTCAGATTCTAAATGCCAGCACACAGTCAGGGCTTGCTAAGTACTTAATAAATTGAGATGGAAATAATAGAGTGTTGGACAAAATTTGAATAGTACAGATTTCCTCACAAAATAAAAAGCAATGTAAAACTGTCATCTCTGAGAGGAGTGTGAGGTGAAGGGGTAAGTGAAGGAAGACCGTTCATGTTTTCCTTTTATGTATTTAAAAAAGAAATAACTGTCCAGTTGCATGGGGATTATGAGAACAGGATAGGACTGTTATCACAAGCAGGTCTTGTCTTGCATTAGATTTCTCACTAATTGGGTGACCTTGGGCAAACCACTCAATTTCCTCATCTGTAAAGTCCGAGAGCTGGCTTAAGCAGGCTTCTTTTAAGCTCTTTCTCAGGTTTAAAATGCGACGACTTTACAAATGGAATGAATTAACAACTTTATAATGGAATTCTCAGTTCTTTCTCCTGTTTCCAGATGAGTTTTTCCCTTTGGATGTTAAAAAGCTGTTGCAGTTTCTTGCAAACAGTTAATATCTCATGGAGGCACCACAGACCAGACCTAAGCTTCCTGCCTGAAGAGCACTGGAGCAGAAAGCATTGGCTCACCCTCCCGGCATGCATTCTACCCCACCCTCAAAGTCCGAGTAACCACACACTTCTGAGCTCTCCTCCAAACAGATATTCTAGGAGATGGAAATAGGTTCCCCCACGAGGTGCTAAATATGTTTGAGAAACTGCTGCATTCTAGATCCTTCCTTAGAGACAACCAATCTGTTTGTTCTACTCAAGGTTCAGAGAAGTCCCGTAGTGTAGCAATGTACTTAGCAGCATCTCCCTAACCAAGGAGCAGGGACAGCATGTTTCCAGCACATGTACTCTGTTTGTGGCCATGTGTTCTGACAGCATCAAACTGGGAAAGTCATTTCCAGTGACCTTTCTGCTGTGTGTCTCACTGTTTTCTCAGGGAAATTCCTTGTCCGAGCCAGCTTGACCTGAGCTGTTTCAAGCCTCACAAATGCCCTTGATGACTTCTTTCCAATCCTGTCATTATTTCCCTTAATTCCCTTTTCTGTCTTGCATTGCCTTGATACAAAAGTTAGCTTGTATGGAATTTATAAAGGCTATCTATATACCTCACCTTAGAAGACTTCCATTTCGCGTCCTCTTGATAACATTATACAGCACATTTGTATGGATATGACTTAGACACAGAAAACATCCAGCTGGTCTAGTTGGCACCCAAGCTTCCCTAAAAAAAGACATTATCTTAGAAATTGCTTGCTTTTTTGTCCAGTCACACTTGAACCATACCTCACTGGTAGAGAAATCACTTGAAGGACAGAAGAACTTCTGTTCCAAAGAGCCCGTTGAACTCTGGGGGTGGTATATCACTCTGTTGTCAGAAGCAAAAGTTAAACCTCTGTAGACTGTCTCTCTCATGATTTATTATTCCTACAAGCACTTCTCGCCCCTCTCCAAGCACATCCCATTGAGTTAAGAGGAGAGTTGAGGCCCCATGCTGAAAGATTGCAAAGCCTCAATTACTTGTCCTACTTTGTAGGGATTTGCTTTTAAAGCAGGCACGGAGCGGTACTCTGATGGATGGTGGTGCTGGACCATGCTCAGCGTGACTGGAGACAGCTGCAACCGCAGTTAGCATGAGGCTAACGGCTCTGACCTGACTGCAGAACCCTGTCCATAATCGCAAGCCAGCACTGGGACTGTAGCCAGCGGAGTTGACAGCTGTCTGCCTGAGAGCACTGAGGAACGATTTCAGTGCAACGAAGTTTAATTTTATTTTTTGTAATCCTCTGGTTTTCAATTTGGGGAGACTCAGAAGTTGAATGTGGCTATTCTCAAAGATGTCATAATAGTACAATTCAGGATTCAAATGAAACAATGCATTTGATGGGGCTTTGACATAACTACCAGTTAGAGAGAAAGCAACGCATCATTGTTTCGGGCATTGCTTTTGAAAGACAGACCCAACTCTAGAAAGGAATCTGTAGTTATGAAATGCATGGGTAAAATAGACTGGTCTGCGTTTAACAATAGAGTTATAAATATTTTAATGTATTTGCTCTTAGGTCATTTCATGGGTATCATAAGTAAAATAAATTGAGTACCGGCATAATAATAGGTAAGTTCGTTGAATACAGTAAGTAACTCATAAATCAACTCTATAAGAATTTTAAATAGGATAAAGTCAGTATTAGAAAGGGGTACAAAGCTTATTGAATAGTGTCATCACAAATGGATAGACAAAAAAATTAATTATCTTGATAGACTTTTTCAAGTAGTGATAGTCATCTTAAATGTAAAATGCTTTTAGAGCTAAATAAATGAATCAATATTAAGCAAAACACTAAATAATTAGAAGTTGTTTATATACATTATAGCATATTTATGAGATGAAGTTGTAAACAGTCATTAAAAATTATGGCTATACCTAATTGTCACCAGGGAGCCTTCATCCAGCAACTGATGGAAACAGCTGCAGAGACCCACAGCCAAATGTTAGGCAGAGCCCAGGGAATCCTGTGGAACAGGAAGAGGAAGGATTGATTGTAGGAGCCAGAGAAAACCCACAGAATCAACCAACCTGGGCTTATAGGGGCTCACAGAGACTGCATATATGTTACAGTTGTGTAGCTTGGTTCTCTTGTGGGACTCCTAACAGTGGGAGCAGGGTTGTCTCCAACTCTTTTTACTGGCTTTTGGAACTCTTTCCTTCTACCAGGTTGCCTCATCCAGCCTTAAAAGAAGAGGAGGTGCCTACTCTCAATGCACCTTGATATACCATGGCTGGCTGGTATCCATGGGGGGGGGGTCTGCTCTTTTCTGAAGAGAAACAGAGGAGGAGTGCATTGGGGTTGGGGTGGAGAGGAACTGGGAGAAGAAGAGGGAGGGGAAACTGTGGTTCGGATGTAAAAACAATAAATAAATAAATTATGGTTACAATGATTATTTAGGGATAAAAGATGATACTGTGTTAAGTGAAAAGGCTGAACTATAGCAAAATTCACAAGCCTATATACCTAAGATTAAGTTCAAATATATGTGAGAAAAAATTCTAAATAACAGTGTTAAAATGGACAGAAGCTTATTTCTCCATTAGGCAGATCAGGGCTGGGGCAGTAACAAAACAGATATTATACTTTAGTGTTGAACTCTGAAAAAAACTCAACCTAAGAGATGACTCCAGAAACTGTTTTGGGCTCCAGGCAGCATGATAAACAGAGAAGAAGGACAAAGGCAAAGTGTGCATGTGTTATATCTGAGGACTGATTCACAGAGATGACACATGACCCTTCTGCTTGGATTCCTCTGAACTGAATTCTAGCTGCAGTGGAAGCTGAGTATGTCCGTCTGAGTCTCCAATCATGTATTCATTTATGCAGATAAAAATCAGGGCCTTCTCACCACCAAAAGGGAGAAACTTAGAGGACAACCAGAAGGTATTATAATACCGTCATTTGCCAACCACATAGAAAAATCAAGAGAGGGCTGAGGAAAATGTTCATTGGGTAAAACATGCAAATGTGAGGACTGAAGGTCAGAGACCCAGACTTCCTGGGGGTAGCTCTCTTGTAATACCTGTGCCCCAGAGCAAGCTGTCTAGCTAGAATAGTCCTTTCAGTGAGATCTGGGATCAACTGATACACCCTGATGTAAAGAGTAAGATGGATATCAATGGAGGAAGACTCCCAATGTAAACCTTGGAACTCTACACACAACTGCACATATGTGCACCCTTACACGTGTGAACATGCATATACATAGGCACCACCAAAACACACACACACACACACACACACACACACACATACTCACGCGCATGCGCTCACACATATATGAGAGGAAAAGTTGGAAGAAAATAAGCTGAGCGGTGGTGGCACATGCCTTTAATCCCAGCACTCAAGAGGCAGAGGCCAGGTAGATCTCTGTGAGTTCGAGACCAGCCTGATCTATAGAGTGAGTTCCAGGACAGGCTCCAAAGCTGCAGAAAGAAATCCTGCCTCAAAAATCCAAGAAAATAAACCAAAGGAAAATAATATGTTAAATTGGAACAAAAGACACCTAGATCCTGATTTTACTTCTGGTTTTTCAAGTCCCTCTGTCTTTTGGGTTATCCTTCCTAAATCCTCCAAATCTATATGCATTTCTCTTGTTTTTATCATGGAGAGCAGTTCATCTCTGCCTGTTTTGATGTTCAATGTGTGTACAGGTTTCATCAACAATAAAAGACCTATAAAATAAGATGGCCTACTCTTTATTTTATCTTTTTATTCTGAAATAGATTCTCTCCACGTATAAGTTAACGTTTCATCACAGCAGTGTTTATACTCATACACCATTGCTCCTATTTGCACCCACCAATGCTCTCTCCCATTATTCCCCTCCTCTTTTGGTTCCCTCCTCCTCCTCTCAGGTATGTGTGTATATGCACATGTATTTTCCTTTTCTATTATATTTTTATTACTTAAAGCGACTTTTAAATTTAAATATATTTTGATAATGTTCTTCCCCTCCCCCAAGTCCTTCCAGATCCACTCCCCCTCCCCACCCACTCAACTTCTAGTTCTTCCTCAGAAGACAAACAAAAACCAATACAACAACCCTCACAACTAGAAAAAATAAAATAACCCCAAAAGTAAACAAAAAACAAATGAACAAAACCACCAAGCTGTAACCAAATAAAAGACACACACACACACACACACACACACACACACACACCACCAACAAAAATAAACCCTACAGAGTCCATTATATGTTGATTGACTATTCCTAAACATGAGGCCTGTCCTGCAGCAGGCATCCATTAGAGAACATTTATTTTCCTTTTTCCAGCTAGGTTTTCTTTCATCCATCCAACCATTCATCCATCCATCCATTCATTCATTTTTTTAATATAAAAAATACAATAAGATGAAACAAAATCTATCACATCAAAGTTGGACAAACAAATCAACAGAAGAAAAATAGCATAAGAAAATCCCCAAGAACTGGAGACCCATTCATTCACTCAGGAATCCCATAAAAACACCCAACTGGAGGCCATAATGTAAGGGCAGAGGCCCTGGTGCAGACTCTGCAGGCTGGGTGCAGCAAATATATTTTTTCATATATGAAATGTAGTCTGAAGGTTTCTCTGGTCCCTCTAGGCCCCCACAGTCCCATGGCCCTCTTATAAAATAATCACTCAGAAGCTTATATTAATTATAACTGTTTGGCCATTAGCTCAGACTTATTACTGACTAGCTCTTACACTTAAATTAACTCATAATTCTTATCTATGTTTAGACACATGGCTTGGTACCTTTTCTCAGTTCTGCCTTGTCATTTTGCTTCCCCTGTGTCTGGCTGGTGAGTCCTGACTCTGCTCTTCCTCTCCCAGAAATCTCCTTGTCTGCTTGCTCCGCCTATACTTCCTGCCTGGCAACTGGTCAACAGTGTTTTATTAAACCTTAGTGTACAAAAGCATTATCCCACAGCAATGAAAACACATAATACTTTGTCTTTTTATTTCCCTTGCCTTCACTTGTTTCCTTATTCCTCTCTTTAGATTTTTTTCTTCCAGCGCTCTACTTCTATGTATTATACACAAATATATAAATATATTTAAAGTACAGACTCTGCAAATAAGGGAATATGCAATATTGTCTATCTTAGTTTAGCTGATTTTGCCAAACATGATCTCTGATTTCATCCTTTTCCCTGTCAATGTACTTTCATTCTTTTTTACAGCAGAATAAAATTCCTTTGTCTATATGAACCACATTTTCTTTATCCATTTTTGTGTTTATGGACATCTATGGTGGGTTCATATCTTGGCTACTGTGAACAATACAACAGTGGACTTGGATCTGAAGATGTCTCTATGGTATGTTGACTTAGCTGGATGGCATGGTAGTTCTGTTTTTAGAGTTTTCTATTCTGGTTTTTTGTTTTGTTTTGTTTTGTTTTTTTGTTTTTTGTTTTTGGGGGAGAGATCTCCACTCTGATTTCTATAGTAGCTGCTGTATATGATCATGGGATCTTCCCTTCATCTAATATTTTCTCCAATTTCTTTGAGTTTTAAAGATTTTGATGTAAATATATTTCATCTTCTTGGTTAAGTTTGTTTTTAGGGCTTTTGTTGTTGTTTGAAGCAATTGTCAATGGGAATTTTTAAATGATTTCTTTCTAGCAAGCTTGCTATTGGTATGAAGGAAAGCTGCTAATTTTTGTATATTAATTTTATGACTTGTTACTTTGCTGTGAATGTTAGATCTAGGTAATTTCTGGTGGAGTTATCAGGGCCTCTTAAGCATAAGA